AACTGAATCTTGCAGAGGTCTGCTACTGAGAATTGAGCATCTAAGGGTCGTCTAGTTTCAAAAATTCATTCCATACATTTGCATCATACTGAACATTATATAAACATAATATAAAGGTTTTTTGTAACAAAATATGGATATATATATATATATATAATCTTATTTGATGAGAAGAATGTAGAGTAATAGCAATATACTATGAAAGAAGACATTTTTGAAACCGAAATTAGTTTCCGAGATGTTCCATTATCGAAGGAGCTGATATTATTTCATCACCTATTGTTTCTATTATCATATGAATTTCTATAGGTTTCTAGTTACGACTACGCCACAGATCAACAAACCTCAACTACGCTTCGTCTATCCAACAGTCGAAATTTTGCATTAGAAGATTGCTTATTTGTTTAACTGAATCTTGCAGAGGAATTTATTCTACACCTTTGCATCATACTGTACATATATTTACATAATATAAAGGTTTTTGTAACAAAATATGGATCATTCTGAAGATATCTATAATGTTTATAATCTAATTTAATAAAAAGAATGTAGAGTGATAGAAATATACTATGAAAGAAGACATTTTTGAAACCAAAATCAGTTTCCGAGATGTTCCATTATCGAAGGAGTTGATATTATTTCATCACCTATTGTTTCTATTATCATATGGATTTCTATAGGTTTCTAGTTATGGAATATGAATATGAGGATATCTTATGGGTGTCGATACTATTTCATCTGTTGAATCGCATGAGATCAAATCTATATTCGTAGGTTATCTTGCATATAGAGCACTGTGTTGTAAAGGCAGGGAGTTTCAACTACGCCACAGATTAACAAACCTTAACTACGCTCCTCCAGTTTCAAATTATCACATAGATGATGTTTTCTGGCAAGCACGTAGATTGTCCATGACTTTCGCGTTTTTCACTTTTCATACCGACGACATTTATGACCAATTGCCGCTCGATTACCATCATTATTCGTATTGATTCGTCTATAATGTTGCTAATTATACTGAATTCCATCAAACCTGAAGCGATTTTTTCGATGAGACTGAAGATAATCGCGAACACGTCTACCTCTTGATATGGTTTGCGCCATGGTTCACTATATATGGAATTTTTTTTCATATATAAGATGGTGTGAACTGTACTCCGCATTAAAATACATTTTCTATATTTTTTCGCAATTAGTTCTTTCGATTTTCAACACTCTGCTAGGTTGCAACCTAGTAATTCATCAGTAATGCACCTTGGGATATCTACCATAGATGCACTAGATTGTTCAGATTCAACTCATACTCTACGATCATTGATGTTTCATGATTTTTCAATTTGCCTCGCATATGTGGCAGGACTGTAGCCGCTTCCATCTGTTTGAACGACTATAGGATTTATGCCCATTTGTGATATATAGTATGGTATCTCGAACGTTTGCCTCCTGATATGGTTTTTTGTCACAAATAAAACAACCTATAGGTGATATAATCGATTTTATATGGCAGTTGGAGCACTTTGAACATCAATTTTCGTATAATTCAAGCAGAGACCTTCCATTTGATATACAACAACCTATAGTTGGCATAATATTCAGTATACGGCCCTTGGGGACCCTTCAAAAATTGTTTTTCGTGAATTTCAAGCAGAGACCTTTCATTTGATATACAACAACCTATAGTTGGCATAATATTCACTATATGGCCCTTGATGCCCTTCAAAAATTGATTTTCGTAAATTTCAAGCAGAGACCTTTCATTTAATATACAACAACCTATAGTTGGAATAATATTCACTATATGGCCCTTGAGGCCCTTCAAAAGTTGATTTTCGTAAATTTCAAGCAGAGACCTTTCATTTGATATACAACAACCTATAGTTGGCATAATATTCACTATATGGCCCTTGAGGCCCTTCAAAAGTTGATTTTCGTAAAATTCAAGCAGAGACCTTTCATTTGATATACAACAACCTATAGTTGGCATAATATTCACTATATGGCCCTTGAGGCCCTTCAAAAGTTGATTTTCGTAAATTTCAAGCAGAGACCTTTCATTTGATATACAACAACCTATAGTTGGCATAATATTCACTATATGGCCCTTGAGGCCCTTCAAAAGTTGATTTTCGTAAATTTCAAGCAGAGACCTTCCATTTGATATACAACAACCTATAGTTGGCATAATATTCACTATATAGCCCTTGAGGCCCTTCAAAAGTTGATTTTCGTAAATTTCAAGCAGAGACCTTTCATTTGATATACAACAACCTATAGTTGGCATAATATTCACTATATGGCCCTTGAGGCCCTTCAAAAGTTGATTTTCGTAAAATTCAAGCAGATACCTTTCATTTGATATACAACAACCTATAGTTGGCATAATATTCACTATATGGCCCTTGAGGCCCTTCAAAAGTTGATTTTCGTAAATTTCAAGCAGAGACTTTTTATTTGATATACAACAACCTATAGTTGGCATAATATTCACTATATGGCCCTTGAGGCCCTTCAAAAGTTGATTTTCGTAAATTTCAAGCAGATACCTTTCATTTGATATACAACAACCTATAGTTGGCATAATTTTCACTATATGGCCCTTGAGGCCCTTCAAAAGTTGATTTTCGTAAATTCCAAGCAGATACCTTTCATTTAATATACAACAACCTATAGTTGGCATAATATTCACTATATGGCCATAGTTGAGGTTAGGGCCCATCGAAAAATCCTATTTGAGAGCGTTCAGAGGTCTGCAGCACCAGAATCGCAGTTCTCACTCGTCGGAGACGGATGACCTTGAAAGCGCCAAAAATGACCAGAATGGACCTTAAAATTCATGGAAAAAGTCCGTAGATCTGGGGAAAAATCACATCGTCTGTCTCTCTCTAACACATGGGCTCTTATGGGGCTTTCCGCCGTGCAGCATAGAATTTCCGTAGAATCTGGGGAAAAATGACTTAGAATTTTGAAAATTGCGGCCGTTTCGGCATAGTCCCTTTACTGCCCTCAGTACGACTATAAACCGTCCAATCCGTCTTCCTTGTAATTTTCAAATTTGCTCTCATTCAAAGTGATTTTTTCGAAGTTGAATCCAACAATCCAATCTAGATCAGTCTTAAAATCATGCTTGTTCCTTATGATTCCAATTTTGTTAGTTCTTCAGATGTTAGTAGTCATCAATTTCGATCAATCCAATAATTATTATTCTTGCTCCTTATCGTTCCAATTGTATTTTTCGTTCCGCAGGTATAAGAGAATAGTCATAACGAAGCCAGAATCCAATTTCGATCAATTTTCTCAACTGGTCTTCTCCACCTTGATTTTCTTACTGAAAAAAGGTTAAGATCATATAAAAATAATAGCTGCATAAACATTGACTACATACCTCAGAAGAGAAGCAATTTTGAAAAAACTATTGAAAATACCCCAAGAAATCAAATCTTCAAACCAACCAATTCTTAACCTTTATTTTCTCGATCACCAGGTGTGAAAGGATAGTCATCCTGAGAAAGTCAGCATCCAATCAGTCTATGCTTGTTCCTTGTCCTTCCAAATTTATTTGGCTTCCTCAGGTGTCAGAGCTGCCCCACTCTGGGACAGCACCAAACAAGAATTCGTCGGCATGCTCACAATGACCGATTTTTTAATTGTTCATATGTTAGATGGTCATAATAAATTCTGAATCCGATTTCGACCAATCATTTTTTTTTCTTCAGGAGACAAAAGATAGCCTTAACAAAGTCTCGTACAATCTGAAGGTTATGCTTGTTCTTTACTGTTCCATATTTTTCGTTATTCAGAGGATATAGTAATAACAATTTTGATCAATCTGAAAATTATACCCGTTCTTAATTCCAATTTCGATCAATATAGAAACTATGCGTGTTTTTCCAATATTTTTTCCGTCACTCAGGATTTAAAAGATGAATCTTTTGTAGAAGTCCATATTGCTCAAAGTGTAGTGAAATTTTTCAAAGGAAGGAAGTCATCTCCACAAATTTCAATTGTGTTGTTACACAATCATAAGGGACATATTTCGGTCTTATAAAAACCACCTTTTTTTATTCCAAAGATGATTAATATTTCTTCTTCAGGTGTCAGAATTGCCCCACTCTGCGACAGCACCAAACAATTCGTCGGCATGCTCACCATCACCGATTTTTTGTTTTTCATATGTTAGAAGATGATCATAATAAATTCTGAATCAGATTTCGACCAATCTTGAAATTACGCTAATTCCTTATTGTCCCTTTTTTTCAGGGGACAGAAGATAGTCATAACAAAGTCAGAATCCAATTCAAATTCTACAGATTTTGCTTGATCTTTTTTCCGTTCTGAGGATAGTAATAACAATTTTGGGGAAGACCACTGATTTTTCAAAACGACATTATCGTGAACTCCATACTGAAAAACTACCAGTGAATTAATTTTGAATTTTTTCATTCATGCTAAGACGATGAAAAAAATAAATTAGTATATGTCCATTTCAAAACACACAATTCCTGCGTCATTTGAAATTTCATCAATTCATTGGTGTGACTGGTGCGATGTCTTAGTCTCAACACGCCTATTGTCCTTGAACTGACCAATTACACTGCAACACTGCAGAATGACGAGGTATCAGAGAGTGATAGCTAAAGTTCGGGACTCTTACGTCACGACTCCACCATCATATTTGGCTGTTTGAAATATCGAATGAAATATGCTGATTTCAAAACGATATAGATTCGATTCCCTTCAATTTCAACTCATAATATTGATTGTACATAAAATGTGAATCATGATTCGTCGATTGAAAGAGGTTTGCACGGATTTCTTCTTTCAGTGGTCTTCCCCATTATACCGGTTTCTTATTCCAATATTATTTCTCTCTCTGCGGGTGCTGGGAAATGAGCATTACAAAGTCAGAATACAATTTCGATCGAAATAAAAACCATGCGTGTTTTGACTTTTTTTTTCGTTACTCAGGTGTCAAAAGACGATATATGTTTCTTCTTCTTTAGGTGTCAGAGCTGCCCCACTTTGGGACAGCACCAAACAAGAATTCGTCGGCATGTTGACCATCACCGACTTCATCAAGATCCTGCGCATGTACTACAAAGCGCCCAGCGTCGCCATGGACGAATTGGAGGAGCACAAGCTCGACACGTGGCGACGCGTACTCAAGGTTCGTGTTCGAGAGTATTTTGAAAAAAAAAATCAAAAGACAACTGGAACTCAGTAATGTAGATCGGAGGTACAATTGGTCATCACAAGTCACTAAAGAGCTTGAATATGCTAACTTCTTCACGCCATTATCCCAGGTCACTTCTGAAATTCTCATTCGGGAGAAGGCGATCCTGCTCTCGAGGTATATGAACAGACTGAAAGAAGAAGACAAATCCCTGTTTCTAAGGTCAACATTCCTCTCCATAGCCCAGTCTCTTACTCTTGCACATCAAACCCAAAACTATCTACACATGAAGGTGTCGATTCAAGTCACAAGAACTATTGCACAACTCAGATTATGCAACAAATTCATGATAAGATTTACTTACCGTGGTTCAACTCACCGCATTGACCCGAGGCAAATCTGCTCAGTTTGTAATCGGTATGAGCTTGAAACAATCCATCATTTACTATTTGACTGTCCGATTTACACATCAATGCGACCTTGTGATACTCCTTGTTTAGAGAATATGAACAATTTGATCCACACACTCAATAATATTTCACCCACTACAGCAAAGTCAATATCCTCACATATCTGGAATATTTTGAAACATAGATCCTTCATCATGAATGAATAGCTCTCAAAATTTATTATGGCATTATCATTATTATTATCATTATCACTATTAATCTTTATATATTTTTTTGCAATATTCTTAATACGTTTATTTCTATTTTCTCACTTCAGGAAACAGAAGCATGTAGATATGATAATAGATTAGTAGTAAGAACCTATATGCATCTTAGTATATAGTAGGTTAATACGGAAGAGCTTTTTTCTTTTTAGTTTTTTTTTCCTAGAATAGGCCACATTAATTATTGTATATGTATAACCGAATTTCTTGTTTATAAAACTGTATGTTTTGTGTAAACAATAAATGATTTGAATTGAATTGAGTATTTTGAAAAAAAAAATCAGATGGCATACTATGAAAGTATTCGTTGACATAGTCCCTGTAATGGGCGAGTGGACTGATAATGGATAATCGGGATTCAATTGCTCCACTGTGTCCTTAGGAACGTAAATTCTCAACACTTCTCACGCTTTTTTCACGTAAATAAGAAGTCTATGCGTTGTTCAAAATTGATGAATTCCAGAGCTCATTTCAAACGTAACGTCATGTCCGCCATTTGGCGATACGACGAATAAATGGTGACGTCAGTTTTTATGCTGTTTCGTTATTAGTCAGATAATCTTCTACATCCACTCATGAAGCAAGGTTGTCAAGTCACCAATTATCAAGTTATCAAAAAGATGTTTGAGTCCTCTCATTGACTAAAGCATAATAGGAGGAACTCATGACATAATAGTTCATTCTTGACTTTTTCGAGCATACAGCATGTCCAAATCTTTCTTATTGTGAATGTTGGAGACTTGGCAACATTGTGCTCCTCAAATTATGTAGTAAACGTCGATTTATTCAGACAATTATTAAATGTTTCGCCATTTTGTAGTAGGTGAATATATTGACTTTATTTTTTTCAAGAAGATTTATCACAAGATCCGCTTTCCATTTAATTTTCCCCAGATGACGCCCAGCCGCCATCTTGGAGTTTGCATCTGTCAATTTACTACAAAATATAGTATTCATGCATCAATTTCTTTACCCCAAGTTTAAATTCTTTTCGTTGACCCTTTGTTTCTTAAAATTTATAGTGTTTCTTGTTCGTACATGTCGATCACAGACTGCCTTATTATTTGTTTTATTTTTATTTACTTTTTATGACTTTGTCTACGAGACAATAAGTTTATTTCGATTTGATTTGAAGGACAAGAAGCCCCTGATCAGCATCAGTCCAGACGCTAGCTTGTACGACGCTATCAAGACGCTGGTGCGCAACAGGATCCACAGGTTGCCTGTCATCGACCCGGAAACGGGCAACGTACTGTATATATTGACGCACAAGAGGATCCTGAGGTTCCTGTTTTTGTATGTGAGTATCTGTATTTTTCCGGAAATATCGGTTATTCTACACTTTCCGCCAAAAAAAAACAGGCCGGATAGAAAAATGTTGCAAAATTGATCGACCAGTAACTGTTTTAATTGTCTGATTTTGGTGAAATTTAGAGCAAATCGTATATTCTTGTATGTATGTAGCCAAAAAAGCTGACGGTTTGATCATTATACAGGGACAACAAAAGAAGAAACTTTCATCCTCAACTTTTAACTAAGTGAGCTGTTAACTTAGCTTCATCATGTTTTCGATTAGTCTGATCCTTTGTTAACACAATTGTTTCTGATTCACGTCAATATCTTCATTAAGAGAAGATACGTGTTCTGAGAGATTGGTATGGTATTTTAAATTTAAATTTTAACGATAATTCAGAATCTAATGCATCTTTGAAATTAACTCCAGAGGCGTATTAGTCTTTGTCCGGACTTGTCCTTCAAAAAGAATTTGGAGAAATTCATCAAGATTGCTTGAAAAATTTGATCAACTTGATGACATGGCGGTTGAATGCTGTAATTCAAGCTCGAGGAGGTCATACTCGCTATTGACTACATTTAGGTTTGCTATTGATGTTTTTGTAATTGACGTTTGAAGTTTTTTTGAGTTTTCAATTAAAGTTCATGTAGGTTCAGAATAAATGTTGATGAAAAAAAATCTCTATACTTTCTGACACTCGTTTCTTATCTTGAAAAGAAGATATTGACGTGAATTAAAAACCATGATGTTAAGAAGTGATCACACTCCTATCCAAAACATAGTGAAGCTATGTCTAACCACTCACTCTACCCACAGGGCGTTATCATGTTAATGATGAGAGAGTAACTTTTGTTTTTACCTGTATAATGATAAAGCCATCAGTTTTTCTTGAGAACATTCCGAAACGGGAATCTACGATCTGATTGAAATTTCACCAATATCGGACAAGAATTTAAGAAGTTACAGGGCGATTAATTTGGGTGGTTTCATTTGCCAGTGTTTAAAGTGGTCGACTTCCAAAATTATTGTCAAAAGTAAATCGACAGAAGTTTCCGAAGAATTTTGTTGAACCCTTCTGAATGATACCTAGTTAGTAGGCTAGAGGTATAATATTGTCTGTTCATTGACCTACAATTTGTCTACCTGTCAATAGCGCTAGTTTATTGAAAACATTGAGAGTTAGTTTGTTTCAATAGAATATTTGTCAAATGGTCAATTTTAGGTTGAAGTTTTCACACGTCACCTCAAACAAATTACAATTTTGATTGGAATGTCTACTTTCGAGATCGTTAGTTGGCAAGGTGGGTTGTTGGTTCGTTTGTTTTTGGTGTTCCATTTTGCAATTCTACAAGCGGTGGAGGTATGTAAATTCTTCAACACTCATTTCTCAACAATGAGGTAACATGCAACGACATTCAGCATCAAGTAAGATATCATTGTCTAGCCACATGATGAAGTGCGAACTGTAATTTTTCATCACAGCCCTGGAAAGTTTCTATTTCCTACTCAAATTCAAGTAACATCAATTTATCGAGAATTTTATCATTGCATAAACACTTTTTCTGTATGCATCCTGATTTCATTATTTGCGTAAGTATGAACAATGTTCATAATTGAAATGTTCAAACACGGAAAAGCTTTGATTATTTAACTTGACAGAAAGGTGGATCTTGAAAGGAATATGAAAATTGTCTAGGGTTTAGATGACAAATAAATATCGAGCTTTTTTTTCACAGAACTGATAATATTTTACCTCTCGACTACAAAGTCGGTATTAATTTAGATTTTAGAACGACAATGGTTGTTTAATAACGGGTAAAACATTTCTAGTTGCTATATAAAAATTTATGGATAAACAAATACTTCATTAATGGACTCAAAATAGGAACATTTTTATGCGCATTTTCAATTTGGTGCGTGAACTAACCACTGCAATGATAAACATAATAATCTCGCTACAATAGGGGTAATTTAAGAGGCCATTACTCTTATTTGCAACAAACAATCTTGCATGATTCCGACATACTTTTTACTGAAGTCATTGGATGGTATTAGTTTGATAAGAGTCCGGACACAGCTAAATTTCTGTCCTTTTCTATTTTCTATGTTAGAATGGTTTGAGTGGGTCTTTTCAATTTCCCTAGTAGCGCGTGATTGTCAGGTACGATTTTAGAGGTTAGATTTTCTGTTAAATCCATCATTGTCGTAGATGGAAAATAGAAATAGGGTATAAAGACCTACTTCAATTTATATAGCGATACACTCTTCGCAGAACAATAGTTATGAAAATGAAAAGAATTCATGTAACAACATTTATATGAGACAAAATACACAATATACTAGCTAGTTTCTTATTGTTACAGTTTTACATAACTGTAACTAACTAAACTACCCGAGTGTAAAACATGAAGATTGTTTTGGTTTTCCACCATTTGCTGCATTCACTTTTTGGTGATAAATTCTGAATTTGGTCGGTATTGATAACACCATTCATTGATATCCAATCACATTGCAATTTACTTGATTTTCTCAGTTTCATTCTGAAATTTTCTCTTTCTCTATGATAATTTTGTTTTGCATTTCATATGATGATGATATTGAATATTATTTTTATAGAACAAAGGATCTTTTAAATCTTCTGTTTAAAAATGGGCCTAAAATATAGTTTAATTCCAATCTGCTGGTATGAGAAGTGAATTTTAATGTACGTACTTCACAAATTTTGCTTGTCTTCAAATTATTTTTTCATCCAGGCCGTTTCATACATTCCTTCTATGAGGGAATGATGGTTAATATTTCCTTTGGAAAATTAAAGAAATGAAATCGTCATTCCCATCAGAATTCCCGCAATCCATTACACAGCAGGACATTTTCATTCATGCTCTTTTCTCAATAGTTTAAGAAATTATATTTCAATTCAGACGTTCATAAGATTTATTGTCAAATTCAAACAATTTTGAATGAAAAAGCGCGGAACGACAATGATGATGTTGTCACATTGTAAGGTTTATAACTCAATAAATCTAAACATTCAAAAACACTAGCAGTTGTCATTTCTGTGTCCAAACTCTTATCTAATACCATCTAGTGACTCTACTATTTACCTCCCACTTCATTTCCAGGTTGATAACTTATTATTTTCAATTTTTTTAGGTCAACGAATTGCCCAAACCTAGCTATATGCAAAAAACGATGGACGAGCTTCGGATCGGCAGTTACGACAATATCGAGACCGCCTCTGAGGAGACGTCGATAATAGTGGCTTTAAAGAAATTCGTAGAGAGGAGAGTGTCTGCCCTCCCTCTAATCGACCTCGAAGGTCGGCTTGTAGATATTTACGCTAAATTCGATGTGATTGTAAGTATATTTCCTCGTTAGGTGCATGAAGGATTGTTAACTCTACAGGATGGTCCATCCGGCCGTAACCAACCAGAAAGGTGAACGACATGGCGTTACGCCACTGTTTTAATTTTGTCAAGAAACCTCAACTATGAATTTTGTTTGAATTTTCAAGAAATATTTCTATTTTATTTTACTTGAATGAATGCAGTTTTTCACGGATTATAAGGATACTTCGGATAAATATTGGTTTGACTGCTAGGAGGGAACCAGTCTCTAGAGAGTTGGAAACAGAATTTTGCACCAATTCCGTCTGCAAAAGAAGGATTTTCTTCCTATTAAAACTGTTGCTCGGATCTAATTTCCTCTATTCATACGATAAATAAATCTGAAATACTCAACCGGAAGTATAACAGTATATTTTCCATTGACACTATACTCACACAACATCTGCAAAAACATAATTGTTGTTTTCAACAATGGTGTTGAATGTTCAACTACGATTCCAGCATTATTAAGAATAATTCGATTATGAAGTTGAATCTAAAAAAATTCTGATACATCTTCTATCGGCCAGAAAGCCAGAAAATATTGAATCAGATCTAACTTCGAATATCGGATGGAATGAAATCCAAGATAACTGTCAATCTGTCATTGGTAATCATCGACTTGTATATGTGCACCAATCAGCAACGGTCTAGTGATCGGAATGACGTTATATCTGTGTCATACATTGATTTATTGGGAGTGAACCATCCTGTTGAGTTGACAATCCTTGAGGTGCATGTTCTGTATTTTTTATTTGAAACCATGCAAAATGCATCGAAGTACTTTTCATTCAATATATCCGATGTTTCCAACTGTTGAAGTAAGAGAGAAATTATTGTGTGGAAGCCTTGATTATTTACAATAACAAGATGTTCCTTTGGCCTTAGTTCTTGGCTGGAAACCCTTTCTGGAGCAGGACAATTACTAACTTTGTTATTCTGAAGGCTTTTGAATAAAAATATTCCAATCCGACCCTGATGCGACATTTCTTCTTGCATAAAAAACATCTGGAAATAAACTTCGAATATATTTAGCATTACCGATCTCTAACCTTAGCTACTCAACAAAAAGTAATTCACCTTATCGCTCATAGATACCGCCACCTACTGAATAGAATTTCTGGCTTCATTTCTCTCATAAGGATGATTCATCTTGTTAGTGTGAATAATCATGGGTGAAAGTTAGGACGATGTATTCGCGGAATGGTTGCAAAATCTCGTATTTTTTCTTATTGTGCCCCCTTCAAATCCATAGTCAACACGTGTTAAAACAAGTTTCCGGAACATAATTAACACCAGTTATTCAGGGTAACCCATCAATCTGAATTCACGCGTTTCTATGGAGCAAATACTTATATTCCAGCTTACATATCAAACATGCATAAAACAGTTTCACCACGTACCTTGATTGATATTTATCCATCCTTTCCGCAAATCCCAGCAGCATCAGCATATCGCGAACCATTCAATCTGTCGCACGACAAATTCTCTATAGTAGAGCCCTTTGGCTTGAGGTGCCTTTGGCGAGATAACTCGAACTCTGGGCAAAATGAGCCCTCAGACGAGGAAACTCGATCTCCAGGACAGTACTCCTGAGAGAACATTGTTCAGCAACTCGATTCTATCGTTCAAAACTTCCGACAAAAACGATAGATTCCTGTTAGAAGTCTCGACGTGGAAAGACTCTCAACTCGAAGTCTTGTTCTTTTCTCAGGTGATATGGGTGAACATTATTTTCTTACTGGTTTTTGCAGTTAACAGGAATTTGGTTTTTTTCCGCACGCTAGTAGTCTTCTGGCTTGAGGACTTCTTCTCATCTCAGCTGGTATTGGTAGAAACGATATTCATGTATGATACGCCAAACCATATTTTGCAATTCCTGACTCCAACTTCAAACTGATATTACGCTAATGATAGAGGTACCTTCATCTACTAACTGTAAAACACTTTCATCAACTGTGACAGGACGATTTACAGCACGTTCACAACCCAACACAGCACAACACAACAGAAGTGAGAAGAATTCAAATATGAATGTTGAATGCTGAACCATCATACTCAATGTACCATTTTAAGCGGCGATTACATTCTCCTCAACAAATGTTCATTGAAAATTGTCTCTGGGGCCTGAATGGATGCGGGGAATGGGGGTGTTTGGAGTCCATACATGGCTATTTCTTGAATTTTGGATTTAGTCCCTTTTGATGAAGTGGAAAGTTTCCTGGCTTGAAGACTTGTTCTCAAAATTGTCTCCAGGATCTGAATGGATGCAGGGAATGTTGGTTTTTTGAGTCCATACATGGCTATTTCTTGAATTTTGGATTCAGTCCCTTTTGATGAAGTGGAAAGTTCCCTGGCTCGAAGACTTGTTCCCAAAATTGTCTCTGGGATCTGAATGGACGCAGGGAATGTGGATTTTTTGAGTCCATACATGGCTATTTCATGAATTGAAGATTTAGTCCCTTTTGATGAAGTGGAAAGTTTCCTGGCTCGAAGACTTGGTCTCAAAATTGTCTCTGGGATCTGAATGGATGCAGGGAATGTGGGTTTTTTGAGTCCATACATGGCTATTTCTTGAATTGAAGATTTAGTCCCTTTTGATGACGTGGAAAGTTTCCTGGCTCGAAGACTTGTTCTCTTCTCATGTAGTATGAGTTAAAATGATTTTCATTAATGAAACGCTAAACCATATTTTGCGTTAACTTCTACAACAGGACGATTCACAGCATGTGGTTACTCCCTGATTCAACATAGATCCGGTGGGTGTACGAAATCTCTGTACCGCTATTTACCACTATAAATCACAATCACAATATTCCTGAGATGTAAAAGCTGCTATTTCGACACCATTCCCGATTCGATTACCAATAAACACGAAATATTAAAGGCACTCGACCCAAAATCATTGCACACTAGACCTGCACGTGGCGATTGTACATTGCAGTTGGCTGCGGCGCATTGTCTGGGAATCTAGAGATTGTTCATTGCTGTTCGATAGTAAGATTCAGTTAAAATATATATCATGAATTCACTGGAATCGTTCTGAAAATTTGCAGGGACTTTCTCAAATGACAACAGTTATACCCCACTTTGTATTGGCACCCTTACATCGATCACCCTCCATAGATTTTTGAAACTCGTTTCAAAAAAATAAATTCTTGGTAGTTTCAGGACTATAATAGTAATGGTATAGTTTTCAAAAGACCTTTTTTAAAATTATCTTATATCCTACAAAGAATAGTTCATTGTATAATCCAAAAATATAGATACTTGTTACGCTATTTCCTAATGAGCAATGTTTCCTACTAAGCCACTAAGACTACTTACGTTGATACTGACGGAGATTGCTCGGAAATCTGTAAAAAAATAGTAAATATTATCCTTTTCAAAGATCATACATTTCTATTAGCACATTATTTTATATATTTTTGTCTTAAACCTATAAACAAATGAGTGACATTTCAAATAAGAAGCAGAGCATTTCATGAAGGATTACCATCGATTAGTGATGTGATGATTGTGATGAATTTCTGAAGCTAGTAGTGGAAAAATACTTGTTGTTTCGTTGGTATCAATATTCATGAGAAATATCCCATAATTGAGTATGTTTTTTGACAATGCTTTACATTTCAGAATTTAGCTGCAGAAAAAACGTACAACGATTTGGATGTGTCACTAAGGAAAGCCAACGAACACAGAAACGAATGGTTCGAGGGGGTTCACAAATGCAAATTGAGTGAAACGTTGCACGCCATCTTAGAAAAAATTGTGAAAGCCGAAGTGAGTAGAAACGTTTCATTGTATATCCATAAATTATCAGCGAGTCCCTCAAATCAATCGAATTTTAATTTGTTCGCGATTTTTTTGATTTGGCAGGAATATGAATATGAATATTTGCTGTTTTCGATATTATTATGCTCCAATAGGGGAGTGGACTATTTTTTTTTATTTCTCAGATAGAATCATTGCACAATTACCTTTCAATTACATGATTTCCGTGACACATATTTTTTTGTAGTGGTCGACGAAAAAATATTTCTTTATAATAAAACCTTTTCTCTTTTCTTCTTCCCGACACATCTGAAATATGTATATAAAGTTTCATGATAATCGGTTGAGTAATAACAGACTAACATTCACATTTATAATATTAGTAGGTATTATTAGGGGATGAAAAAGATGAGAGAAGTTAGGTTGACATCTAATTATTCCAAATATTATTATGCCTTACAATAACGCTGAAAAATGTGATTTCAGACAATTTCGTGAAGTATAGTTGGGTATTCATTAAAATCGTACTCTCATTAATAATAATAATAATAATAATAATAATAATAATATAAGTTTATTCAAAAACGTTTACAAAATATACATTGGAATAAATAGGTCAATAAATATTTAACAATATCAAGTTATCACAATTGAAAATTGTCTCGTTAAGAAATGAGACAAGTATTCAATTCATAATATATAGTGTAGGGGAGCATTTCATTCAATACGCATAATTATTTATATTCATACATACTTATTCACAATTATTATTAAAATTTATCTAATGATATTATTAAATGTTAATTAAAGAAATAAAATAATTTTTAGGGGAGTTTAATATCCAGTTTTTTATTTTTATTGTATAGGATTGTAGTGATTTTGTTTTTATAATATCATTTGGAATGTTATTATATAGGTAAGGAATTAAAAATTTGAAATTTCTACGTCCAAATGACTTGTTTGTTTTATATTTCAATGTTATGTTATTTTTATTCCTTATGTCATAGATATGTTTTTTAAACTGAATGTCCTTTTTATTTTTGAAAATATGAATCAGTAAATTGTAAATATAGAGTTGATTTATATCCATTTTCTTAGATTCCTTATATAAAAGTTCAGTTGGAAACAAATAATCTTTTCCATAAATAATTTTTGAAATCCATTTTTGTGCAATTTCCAATTTTCTCAGATATATCTGCTTCACTCCACCCCATCCTAATATCCCATAAACTAATTGAGATTGAACTAAAGCATAGTATATCATTTCTAAATTTCGAATATTTAATAAGTTTTTCAAATGTTTGAATTTAGGAATGAGGCATCTTATTTTCTTAGTGACATAATCAATATGATGATCCCATTTCAGATTATTGTCCACCATTATTTATTCATTTATTTATTTATTTATTCATTTATTTATTCTCAAACAGGTAGAAAACCTTATTACATGAGAATCATAATGTATATAACAACAGTATCTATATGATAACAGTCTTGGAGTATATCATTGCAAATATTCTACTAACTACAATAATTGGAATGATCATTTCAAATCACTGATGGCGCGAACACACTATAAAAACTGTTTATTTTAAATTAGAAAAATATGTTTTCAAACCATAATAAAATTTTGAGGGAGGGAGAACAAAGCTGACTTCTGACAATAGTAAGAAGTTGTTTGTTAATTTTATCATTGTTATAATGGGTGAACAGTTATTAGTTGATACAAATGGAACATCAAAGAATTGTACAAGCCGGGTCAATCGATTGGGAGATCTTCTTTTCAATACTGATCGGAGATAGGGGCAGTTATAATATTTCTTGTAGATTTTATAACACATTGTGACTATAATTGCTTGTCTTCTATTTTCTAGACTGGGTATTTCAAATTCACTTCTAAGTGCTACTGTTCTAACTATATTATAGTCCGGGTAAACTTTATATTTTTTATAATACAGATATCTCAGAAATCTGTTTTGAATTTTTTCCAAAATATTTTTGTTGATTAGCTGAGAGGGATGCCAGATTGCAGCGCCATATTCAAGTTTAGGTCTTACTAGAGTATTATAAAGTGCAGTTATTGCTTTGGTGTCATTGAAATGTGCACTTTGTCTCATTACAAAGCCCATAGTCCGTAGTGCCTGCGATGCGATATGATTCAAATGTGGTTTATACGAGAGTGCGGAGTTATAATATATACCCAAATCTTTAACAGTCTCTACTCTGGATAACTGCATGTCGTTCATCGAGTAATCGTATAATATTTTAGATAATTTTCGGCTACAAGATAGTACGATACATTTGGATATATTAAATGGGAGTTCGTTTTTTACACTCCATCGGTGGACCCTATCAATATCTTCCTGTAATTTGACGCAGTCTTGCGGGCTTTCGATCTTTCTATACAATTTCAGATCATCTGCAAATAATAGGCACTCCGAATACTTTATATTATGCGTAAGGTCGTTGATGAATATTAGAAACAGTAGCGGGCCAAGGTTTGATCCTTGAGGGACTCCGGAGTTAGCGCGAAATTTCTCTGAACAGTTTCCTGCATATTTGACCCTGAAGTATCGGTTATTCAAGTAAGAGGCCAACAATTTGAGTGCTTGGAGATCAGCGCCATATTTATGGAACTTTTGCAGTATCACATCGTGATTGACTTTGTCGAATGCCTTCTGGAAATCAGTATAAATTACATCGACCTGTTTATTGTTATCTAGATGGTTGAGGACATGATGAGAAAATGTTAAAAGATTTGTAGAGGTTGATTTTTTCGGAACAAATCCGTGCTGTTCTTCACAAATATTCCCTCCAAAGCCATTCCACACTTTCGCATAAATAATCTGCTCAAATAGCTTCGCAGTAGCACATAAAACTGCTATTGGCCTATAGTTTTCAATTTCTGAGACTTTGCCAGACTTATGGATAGGTGTTACTATAGCTTCTTTCCATAAGTCTGGGAATGTATTCGATTTTATTGCTAAATTGTAAATATATAGAAGAGGCTGCTTTAACCAGAGTCCACATCCTTTTACAATATATGGTGGAATCTTATCACTTCCTGCAGATTTTTTCGGTTTGAGTTTTTTCAGGGCTTCAAAGTAATTACTGTCAGTTACTTCACTGATTGATAAGTAACTTTCAATATTATTATTATCCAAGTTAGGATTGTAAGATGCCTGCTCGTTGCTGTAGACTGACTGAAAATATTTGCCAAAGGAACGTGCAGACTCGTCATTTTTTATGGTAGTGCCCTGTAGCTTGAGTGTGGGGGACGAGTTACATGTTTTTTTATTACTTTTTGTGAAAGACCAGAAGTATTTTGGATCGGTATTAATGGCGTTCTCGATGTTTATTATGTACTCTTTATGACACTTCTCTATTAGTTTTTTCAATTTGCGTCTTTCCTCAACGAACAGTTGCATATAATGGTTGGATAGATTTTTCAACTTCCTCAGTTCATTTTTTCTTTTTAGACATTTTTTCACATCATTAGTGAACCAAACAGGAAACTTACTCTTTTTATTTTTCAATTGAGGTACTAATTCGTCGAATACTTCATATATCTTATTGTAAAAAAAATCAACGGCGTCATTGACATTTTCTATTTCGAACATTTCATTCCAGTCAATATCTCTGATTCTATATGAGAGCTGTAAGAAGTCGCATCTTTTGAAATTATAAAAAGATTCTGTTTCAAAATAGGTTTTGTCTCCGCAACCCTTACTATTTTCTATTTCTATATCAATTATCAATGCAGGATGGTTAACATCCTCTTCTATCAGAGAAAATTCAGATTTAGATACTTTTAGTACATCGCAGTTTTCGGACGCTGTTAACACCAAATCCAGTTTTCGATTATTAATATTAAGAACTTCATTTATCTGTTCTAAAGCGTGTAGGTCTATAAAGTCCAAAAAAGTCGTGTGCCTGTCATCCAAGCCTATTCGGGACATCAAATGGGATGCTAGATTAGGTAGATTAAAGTCACCAGTGACGTACACATTTCGGTTATCATCGACTACCTGATGCTCGTAAAAGTTAGCAAATTCAATATAATGTTCAACAGTTGATTTCGGAGGGAAATAGACCGCAAAAAGAGCGATTTCAATTTTTTTAATCTTTACTTTAACATACAGAGCCTCGAAATCACTCTCTCTCTTTGCCCAGTCTAGAATTTTGAATTTTTTGCTTACCCCTATCATAACTCCTCCTCCCCTTTCTTTGCTGGTTATATGTGGATTTCTGTCACATCTAATTAATTCATACCTGTTGGTGTTAATCAATTCAGAGCTATATATTGAATCATTCAACCATGTTTCTGTTCCTACTATCAAGTCATAATTTTCCCCTTCGGTACTCAGTTTGAATTTGTTCAATTTTGTTCTCAGACCCCTAAAATTCTGATAATAACAAGATATATTTTCCATTTCAGCTATTTATATGAAAAGTAAATACAAAAACGAAAATAATAAAACTACAAAAATGCAAATCAAAGTCGCGCACAGTGTTGTCGTGCCCCCGCATCCATGTTATCTCTTCATGTTTTATTTCAAGTCGCTCTGTTTCTCTATTTTCCTTTTCCTGCCTTCTACATTCGCAAAGATGTCTCCGTTCCTTGTCCATACGTTTCTATATGAATATTTGTTTGTTGCTGCTTTCAACAATTCCAGTCGTGCTCTGTTCAGATCTTCCCTGATCACTACGCCACTGCCTTTCAATAATCGAACATTTTCCATAACTTTTTGTCTTTCTTTATAGTTCGAGAAACGGATTAGTATTGCACGAGGTTTTGTTTGGTTTCTTTCCCCGATAAGTGTTTGACTGCTTTTTATATTTGGACGACCAACTCGGTAACAATATTCGGTGTTCGCTGCTACATTTATTTTTAATTTCATGGTTTTATTAATTAAATTATGCATAAGATCTTCCGTGTTCTCACCCTCACTTTCTTGTATGCCAAATATACGCAGACAGTTTCGTCTCTGGAACTGATCGTGTTTGTCTAACTGAGTTTGTAGATTTTCATTTTCACTTTGAAGTGATTTGATCTTGGTTTCACATTCTTCTATCTTCTGTTGTTGTTTTGACATTATTTCATCCAGTTTGCCATTCAGATGATCAGTAACATTTCTTATTAATGACTCCATGAAGGTTTGGTCGGACATAATCGCCTTCATGGTATCTTTAATTAACTTTTGAAAGTCCTTCGGATTTAGGGCCATATTGAGTTTCCAATTTCACAAACGTGGTACTTACAGTTTTATTCACAGTATACTTCACTTCAATATTCGGCAAGGTTTAAATATTTAACTCGAAAGAATATCAATCGCTTGCGGAGCTCACAATCAACGCGTCTACTCGCTATGACTGCTCATTGTATTTGATACAGTCAGTTTCCTGAATTTCAATTCTTTCATGTTGAAGTTTATTTTTGCAGGTTCACAGATTAGTTGTGGTGGACGAGGAGGACAAAGTGATAGGCATCATTTCATTGTCCGATTTGCTGATGTATCTAGTATTGAAGCCGTGCGGTGAAGACGAAACATCAGCCAATGTACCTGTAGCAGCAGTTCGAGTGAGTATGAATGAATGAATGAATGAATGAATGAATGATTTATTTATTCAGAAAATCACAAAGAATACATGTTCAACAACATAAATGTTTGATACATACATTAGATACTTTCAATGCAGGGATAAAGAAAATATGGTCACTTAGGCAGCAGTATGCCAGCGCGTGACTACACTTCCTTACAGGCGAACAAGAATTTGTACAAACAAAAATACTTATACATGAAATATTACTTACACATGAAAGAGAGTGAAGAAAATCTAGAACTAATAATATTATAGAGGATCGGGAACGAAAAGTATTATAGAGGTTTACAAAAATGGATGAACATATATTTGGTTTAAAATAAATCCATACTAAATGATATCTAGATCGAAAAGTCACCAATAAATTCATTAGAAAACAGTATCATATAATGATATAGTAATATTGTTGGGTTTCCCACCTAATATGTGCTTAACTATGTAGATTGAATATCAAATGAACACTCTTTCTTGTATTCTTTGAGACGTGCATTTTTGAAATTTTTTGTTTTAATGTGTAGAGGAAGTAAGTTGAATATTTTGAATGCTAAGGAAATACATTTCTGAGAAAGTCTTCTGCACTTCTTAGGAATCTCTGCTATGGATTGTGAAATTTGTCTAGTATTATATTTTTCAATACTGACTGACTGTATTCAATTTCGATCTTTGGAAATAATCAAAAAGACTTTGTATGCATACAGTTTCCTCAATTGAAGTTCATGGAGATCTTGGTGCAATAGCTGAGAAGAATACCTTCCTGTTTTCTGTAGTATAAGTTTTATAGTCGTATTCTGTAAAATATCCAACGGATTGATTGTATTCTGGTAGCTACTACCCCATGCTAAAATACCGTACTGCAGGATTGATTCAAATAAAGCGTGATATGAAATTTCGCAATTTTCGTAAAATAAATATACTTCTTCTAAGCTTGGATGCAGTGATTTTTATGGGTTTATCAAACCGCATGGCTGTATCTAAGTTGATAAAATGATAATAATACATCATTCATTTCAGTCGAGACCAATTTTACATATTGCTGCGAAAAGTATTGGATTTTTATAATTATAATATGATGTTAAACATCCAGTTTATGAAATGTATGAAGGGATATCAAAATAAGGTAATGACTATGTCTCGATCAAATGAAATTTCGAGCCATCAAACTTTGAAGAAACTCCAGAATTTATTCATTCATTCGATCATTCTAGTTTTTGCATGATTTTCGGTGTTAGAACAGACATATTTTTAATCTTTTGGGGCGCACGAAAGGAGATTCTTATAATGTTCGAAGAACATCGTGCGTTCCTAGGAACGAAAGTGAGAGGAGGTAATGTTATTTTCACTGCCAACTTGAGAACATACCATTATTCATTATGTTGTTGACCTGAAAAATCCATTTTGGCTATCTACAGCTACGACACAATTTCTGGTCCCAACTATATCTATCAGTGATATCTGCTTCAAGCTGTGCAGTTTACGATTAACGAACAAACTTTCATTTTTACAGATCTTCTAAGATTGTCTCACCTCCTTTTGATAAAATAAAAATATGACTTTTATTTCAATACATGTGTACTGTGAAGAAAGGACAGATCAGATGATTTGCCTCAAAATGTCACTGCGTTTGAAAATGTTCCTATCAGATAGCCTAAAAGAAAAATTCATCTGGTTGTCAGACAATTTCTTTTGAAAAATATTTGTTCATGTATTGAAGAAATATCGAAAATTTGCTCACGAATCTGCTCCCGTTTTCAACATAAAAAAAATGAAAAATATGATTATCTTGATATCTTAGTATGACACTTCTCAATGAGGTCAGGATTGGTAGAACTGATAAATATACTTCTTATTCTCGTGTTATTTGGCCTTTTGCTGTGATATCTTGTTCTCCGTCAATTGGTGGTAAAGTTCCACATTGAGAGTAAAAAACTGTAAGACGGCTCAAGTCTTTCGATAACTTGAGGTTTATATTTGTTCAAATATTCGAGGTCGCCCTTGTCATTAGATGACGTTGCGATGACATTGAGAACATCCTAAACCCTGGCATAGATCGAAAGTTACACTTGTTTTCCCATATTCTTTAATGTCGTCAGAACGTCATATAATGACCTTGGCGACCGCCAATTCATTTTTTTTTAAATATTTTCGGTAAAACAGGCCATAGCTTTTAGGGCTATCCGACAAAATTTTGGGATATTTGACATTGACATCACGTTTTAGTAGCGCCAACTAGTGAAGGTGAAAATGTTAAGCCTATTTCGAGTAACCAAAGTTAGGGGTGGTTTCTAGTAGATTGTTTGACATGAGGGTGATTCGATTTCATTGTCTTGGCCCAAAAGCTCTGGGACACCCGGTATACTAACAATTTTTAAATGCAGTGACATTTTCGGGAAAATAATCTCATGATACTCATATTTTTATTCTATAGAGAAAATCCGAAAAAATATGGAATATTGAATGTACCACTTCCTCGATTAACTTACAGACAGTATTGAACAAACTTTATTTTTTGCAGGATGATAAACCAATAGAAAAAGCTTATCCATCGGAGGAGGCCGCTTCACCAGTCACCAAAGAATTCGACCGACTAGACGATGACGTCATCCTCGATATGGCCGCCGAAAAAAGCGGTTTACTATCTGAAATGCCCATTCTGACACCAGTCGCAGCATCAGAAAGCCAATGAAGCGAAACTTTTCCGCCATGCTATTTATTTTTTTACAGTTTTCCAAAAACTGGATGGATATGCGGATCGTTGTCGGAGCGCCATTTCAGTACAATTTTCGGGCAGAGCGGTGTTGTAACTTATTGAAACAATTTTAGTTGATGATTTACTTCGAAGTATTATTATTCCCGTCGTGTTTTTGCGTATTTCCATTGCGGGGCCGAAAAAGTAGAGAAGGGGTTTTCTCGATGTGGCATCGCAACGAATGGAAAGCGGTGAAAATGCATGAGGACATGTCTGGTATATTGAATGAGAAAAAAATGCGGGTTTTGCTCAGAGCGAGAATATCTATTCTATAATTCACAATTCAAGTTGAAAAATATATTGATTATAATGGATTGTTCTTTTGAACGACTTATAGTATTGTTGAAATATTAATTAGTATAAATGAAATAAATAATATATTTTAAGTCTTTTACGTATATTTTTATTACTCTCGTTCCCCCAATGATAATCCTTACATATACAGTGTGTCCCACTTACCATGCTCACCATGGGTATCTTTTTAACGGTGAAAGATACGAGGTCGGTTAAATGACACCAAATGTGGAGTTTGTCAAGGCCAACTATAATGTGAAAAAATATTTTGATAAAATCTATTCGTTTTTGTTTTATACACAAAAAACAGAGTTTGATCATTTTCATGTCTCCTCTGTAACTTCTTTATTTATGAAAATATTCAAATAGGAATTTCACATTCTCATGACAGATTTCAAAGTGATTTCGAAAGAAAAAATATGAAATTTATATCAACTATTATAGAATTTGAGATATCAGCACCAACATTAGTTTTTCAAATGTAGGTCATAGCTCACTATGACTTAGTTACAAATAACTTTTTTTTCTCTTACAGATGATATGTCGAAGTACTAGTTTTGTGTTGATAACAACGGAGTTATCGTCATTTATACAAAAACAAAAAAATTATTTGGAAGCCGCCATCTTGAATTTATAAATTTTAACAAAAAAATCATGATCTCCGACCTCAAAAGCCCCCACTTACCAATTTTGAATGGAATCGGACCAAATCTTGTCCGCCATCTTAGAGCAGCCATTTTTTTCAATTGATGGCGGACAAGATTTGGTCCGATTCCATTCAAAATTGGTGAGTGGGGGTTTTTGAGGTCGGAGATCATGATTTTTTTGTTAAAATTCATAAATTCAAGATGAAGGCTTCCAAATATTTTTTTGTTTTTGTATAAATGACGATAACTCCGTTGTTATCAACACAAAACTATTACTGCGACATATCATCTGTAAGAGAAAAAAAAGTTATTTGTAACTAAGTCATAGTGAGCTATGACCTACATTTAAAAAACTAAAGTTGGTGCTGAAATCTCAAATTCTAGAAGAGTTGGCATAAATTTCATATTTTTTTCGAAATCACTTTGAAAAACTGCCATGAGAATGAGGAGACATGAAAATGATCAAAATCTGTTTTTTGCGTATAAAACAAAAACGAATAGATTTTATCAAAATATTTTTCCACATTATAGTTGGCCTTGACAAACTCCACATTTGGTGTCATTTAACCGACCTCGTATCTCTCACCGTTAAAAAGATACCCATGGTGAGCATGGTAAGTGGGACACACTGTATATTTCATCGTTTTAGCTTAGTCTCAGTAACTTTCATCTTATTAAAATAATAATAGTAATAGTAATAATTTTTAAAAGTAATTCACTTGAAGAAACTACCAAACGTCGTTTTGAATTCTCTGGAAACGCGATCTTTTGTGAAGTTTTTCACATTTAGTATGGATATCTATCAATTTTTGAAAATATTCGAATTTTTTTGAAATAACCCTGGAAGTATTTGAATCTCCTAAGAATATTTGAATACTGACTGTGAATATTCACATATTTTTGTAATCATCAAATACTTTCAGACTTTTGAAAATATTTAATATTCAGCTTTTCAATTCAGTCAATCTTCAACACTAAATACTTTGTTCATACTATTAGCCATCTTTGATAAAAATTGATTTCTTTGTTTATCATTGGTAACTCGATAATTATAACAAATTTAGAAAGAAGTATTATAAATTTAGATACCACTAGAGAAGTGTTCCTAAAAAATGGTGGAAAAGTCCTCAGCAAATATCTTGAAAAACTATGGTTTGTTCACGCCAAAATACACTCACTGCAAAAAACGACCACATAAAAAATTTTGCCAAATTATTCGCCCTGTAACTTTATTAATTCTGGTCCGATTTTTTTGAAATTTCGACCAAATCGTATAGTCATGTTTCGGAATGTTAGGTTCTAGGAAAAGCTGATGACACTTGATCATTATACAGGGAAAAACTAAAGTAACTCTTTCTCTCTCAACTTCCTAACCCCCTGTGGAAAAGGTGAGTGGTTAAACTTGAGTTCATTATGTTTTCAGTAATAAATAGGTGGGGGGGTTGATATTTGAAATTGCAGGGGTAGTTGCCTGACTGTGAAGGAATTGAATATGGCTAATATACAAGGTGTTCCAGAACAAAGTACCATACATTCTACAGGGTGAACTAGAGACAATAATAGGCCGGTTGAAAGCAACTTACCTCCTGTCATTCATCTCGAAAACCAAGAAACATTATGAAAACACTGCAGTTAGAAAAAAGTGAGAATTGATTTCGACATTCTTTGAAATATCTAAATGTGATCAGTGCCATACACCAAAAGAGTTATATTGATAATGGGCGTGCACACCTTGGTAGAACTTTTAACTCAAACCATGTTTATAATGATCCTTTCATACATAAATAATGATTGACGACATAATTCGATAGAAAAATTTACTAGAATTTTTCAATTTTTGGACATAAATAATAGTACCTTCTGAAAACGGACCCTCTTATGACGTAGAAACCTCATCTCGCCATAGTTAAAAGAAAATACCAAACGCTTGACGGAGACTGGGGCAACTGATATATTAATTCTTTCAACTGTGATCTGGCGCTAATTCACTCTGTCAGAAATCATGTATCATTCATCTCTGTCTGGAATAGTCCTGTTTCAGTATTAGGGTTTTGACGTCACATCATCGCCTCGTTTTCAGAGGTCCGAAAAATCGGGGATTTCAATAATTTTTTTAAAACGTAGGGAGTTCACAGCGATAAACTGTTTGCGGTGGTGAGCTAGTTTGGGTGAGTTCTATCGAATTATGGAATACACATTTTTTGTGATATAAGCCCATTCATCAAAAGGGTGCGAAATAACCAAATATCTGTATATTGATTGAAATGGTACATGTTTTCCATGCACATACTCACTATAGTAAATTTCCCTACGAATTTCAGAGCTGTCCCTTTCAAGGATTTCTAAATATCGAAGAAAATCTGCGAAGAAATTGTTTTACATCGCCCTCTCACGACTCAATGCATTTTCGTATAGAGAGGTAAGTTGATTTCAATTGATCTAATTTGGTCTCTATAGTTCACCCTGTAGAATTTATGGAACGTTGTTCAGGGACACCTTGTATAACAACAAATACCTCAAAAGTTGTCCCCCTTCATATGGAAATTGACGTTTCGCCAAATTTTCATAGTATCATCAGTTGAAGGCATTTGCATGTCAGTTTGATCTTGACGAATTTTTGTTGTTTTTTCAATGTCCACGTGACTCCTTGAATTATGTTCAATTTCACATCAGAGGGCGTGATTAGATTAGACACAAAAATCCCTTGTTCCGTTCGTGATCCACAAAACCAAAACCCTTCTTTACCAATAATTCACCGTTTCCAGAAATGTAATCAAGAGATATGCGTGTCACTGGGCATCAATGTATCATGCGATGATTTCTGTCAGTATATTCGAACCAGAAACGACGACAGCTGGCATCAATTATGCAATACGCGTGGTTTTCCGTAAGCAAACATCAGATTTTGTGGTTTTCTTCGTGTTTAATTCATGCGCTTGTCTGCTTTGTTTCGACGATAACAGGATATCCAATCACCGAGGGGTCGTTAATAAAGCAGAGATTATGAATTGATCGGAAAAATTGTCTAATCCAACTAAGCATAATAAATAGTAGTTTAAAAAACTAAAGAGACGTGCTCTCATAGATAGCCGAACTGAAAAGAAGTGGAAAATAAAATAATAAAAGTGTGCATGGTGATAAATACACAACATGGAACATATTACCAACTCCGTAATCAGTATATTCTATGTTGTGTATTCATCATCACACTTTTATTATTTTATTTTCAACTTCTTTCTAGTTTGACAATTTATAAAAGCGTGTTCTTTTAGTTTTTTAAACTTATATTTGACGAATGAATCATGATCTCCGACCCTCAGATACCAATTTTGAATAGAATCGAATCATAATTACAAAACTCGTCCGCCATATTAAATTCGCCATCTTAAACTTCCAAATTTTGACGAAAGATTGATATCCACCTCCGAAAACCCCCAGATACCAATTTTGAATAGAATCGGATCATATATTTACAAATAATTCGTCTGCCATATTGAATCCGCCATCTTTAATTTACCAATTTTGACCAAGGAATCATAATCTACACTTCGAAAAGCACCAGATACCAATTTCGAATAGAATCGGATCATATAGTTACAAACTATCGTCTGCCATATTGAATGCGTCATCTTGCATTTACCAATTTTGACGCAAGAATCATAATCTCTAACTTCGAAAACCCGCAAATAACAAATTTTGAATAGAATCGGATCATATAGTTACAAACTCGTCTGCCATATTGGATCCACCATCTTGAATTTGCCAATTCTGACAAAAGAATCTTAATCTCCAACTACAAAAACCCCCAGATACCAATTTTGAATAGAATCGGATCATATAGTTACAAACTCGTCTGCCATATTGGATCCGCCATCTTGAATTTACCAATTTTTACGAAAGAATCATAACCTCCCACTCCGAAAACACTCAGATACCAATTTTGAATAGAATCAGATCATAAATACAAAACTGAAGTGGGAAAACGAACAAAATACT